TTAAAGCAGTGGTGAAATGTAAAATTTGTTACTACCGGTTCTGTGGGCGTGGCTTGGTAGTGATGAGTAATGTGACTGGGTGGGCATGGCCAACTTTTTTTTTTTCTTTTAAAAGCATTTTTTCTACAACCTCTTTGAGGTTGCAGGAAAAAATGCTTTTAAAAGCCTCTGACAATCAGGCAACTCAGCTGGGATCGTCAGAGGCTTTTAAAAGCTTTTTTTTTACCTACAACCTCTTCAGCCAAAGAGGTTGCAGGAAAAAAAATGCTTTTAAAAGGCTCTGACGATCCCAGCTGAGCCGCGCGATCATCAGAGGCTTTTTTTTTTTTTACACTTTTAAAAGCATTTTTTTCGGCCGAAGAGGTTGTAGAAAAAAAATGCTTTTAAAAGTAAAAAAAAACAGCCTCTGATGATTGCATGGCTCAGCTGGGCATGGGGGGGGGATTTTTGCTACTGGTTCTCTGAACGACCTGCCGCCATCGCTACCAGATCAGGCGATTCGGTCCGAACCGGGAGCATTTCACCCTTGGATTAAAGTATCCTTGACTGATGACTGTTGAGGGTCTGTTGGACACATTCTGAGGAAGGGGCCCAAGGGAGTGAGTGATCATGGCCGATGTGCCAGGGCGAAAGACTGGGGTAGGGCCAGCCGAGGAGAAAGGTTTCTGGCTAATAAGACAGAGGCGAAAATCTTGAGGAGAAACAGGTAAGGCGAAGGGTTCGAGCTGAAAAGTTTTAGATACATGCACTGCTGTGGTTTAGAAGGACCATAAAGACCTGGTCCTTAACCCAGGTTTTTGTCAAGGAAGAATGATGTTCCTTTTGGATTATGTGGCTTTGTTTCTTTTTCATTCCTCTTCAGGGTTGCTGTTGTTATTTTGTCATTCTTGCCATCTTCTCTTCTTCATATCTGTCTGTTATTGCATTCTTTTCCTTGTTCTTACTTGTGAACAGTCCATAGCTATTGGGAGTTGGGTGACGTACAAATGTAATAAATGAAAAGGTTTCTTTTTAAGCAAATCAGTCAATCTGGTGCTTAGCTTGACCCTCAGCAGAGGTGGGTTTCAGCAGGTTCTGATCCGGTAGCGGAAATTTTGAGTAGTTTGGAGAACCACTAAATACCACCTCTGACTGGCCCCGCCCCCATCTATTCTCTGCCTCCTGAGTCCCAGCTGATCGGGAGGAAATGGGGATTTTGTAGTAACCTTCCCCTGGAGTGGGGAGGGAATGGAGATTTTACACTTCCCCTGCCACGCCCACCAAGCCATGCCACGCCCACCAAGCCACACCCAGAGAACCAGTAGTAAAAAATTTTGAAACCCATCACCTCCCCTCAGTTACCTGAAAAACAACAGCACCAAGAGGAGGACGCCAGCAGGGAAATGACAGGTGTAAATCAGTATTTTTCAATCTTGACACCTCTAAGATTTGTGATTAAACATGTTGACTGAGGAATTTTTGGAGTAGAAGTTCACACACTTTAGAGCTGCTAAGGTTGAGAAACACTGCACTAATAACATTAACTAGGTCCTCTTCCTATATATCCACTCTGAAAAGCTGTTCCAGGCAGGACTCGGATTTGGCTGACAGGTTACAATGAGCAATAAACAGATTTATTTGATACAGAGATTGATAGTAACTAAAACAACTGAAAGTTGAGTGCCCATTGATCCAGCACATGTCCACTATCAAATAGAGAGCAATAGCAATAGCATTTAAGACTTATATACCGCTTCACAGTGCTTTACAATCCACTCCAAGCAATTCACAGAGTCAGCATATGCCCCCCCCAAACAATTTTTACTGACCTCCAAAGGATGGAAGGCCGAGTCAACCTTGAGTCGGTCAGAATCGAACTGTTGGCAGTCGGCTGGCACTCAGCAGAGTTAGCCCGCAATACTGCATTCTAACCACTCTGCCACCATGACTCTTCCAGATTTAGGAGCCCAACCAATTCTCCATTCCTCTGTACAGCTATTGTTTATTGTTTACAGCATTGTAGGTAAGTGGAGAAATGCATGAACTAGGAATACAGTGACTTGCCCAGTGAAATCAATATTCTAAATATGATGGCTCAGGGTAGGAAAGAAGAGATTGGTGAATCGTAATTTTCCCTGGAGTGACATTAGGAAGTTTGGCAGAAGACTACTGCAGCAAGCAATCCAAACCAAGGCATTTATTGGCCCAAACCGAAATAGTTCCAAGATGAGTGAGAAAGGCAAACACAAGGGAGATAATTCAACTGCAAGACTGGCATAGGGATTTTGAAGTCACTTTCTGTCAGGATGATATTCTGATATGAGCAAAGTGGAGTGGATGGAGGAAATAGTAATATCAGTTGCAGATATATACCACTTTATAGTGCTTTCCCTAAGTGGTTTACAGAATCAGCATATTGCCCCCAACAATCTCAATCCTCATTTTACCGACCTCGGAAGGATGGAAAGCTGAGTTAACCCTGAGCCTGGTGAAATTCGAACTGCCAAATTGCAGGCAGCCGGCAGTCAGCAGAAGTAGCCTGCAGTACTGCATTCTAACCACTGCGCCACCACAGCCAGGGGTGGGATTCTACCGGTTCAGCTCGGTTCAGGCGAACTGGTAGCTCCAACGATTCGGTTCGCTCTGACAATCAGGTGGGCCCACCCACCTCTGTGCTTTACTGACCTATATCTTCTCAGCTGATTTGCGTGGCAGAGCGGATTGCCGTGCCTCAGCTGTGTTATTCCCCAGCAGTAATGCGGACGGTAAGTTTTTGTAAAACTGTGCACGTGTGGGCGCGGAGTGTGCACGTGCGCACAAAGTGCGCAATCACTGAATTGGTTGTTAAACCGGCAGGATCCCACCACTGATTACAGCTCCTTAAGAATAGAATAAAATGGAATGGAATGGAATGGAATAGAATAGAATAGAATAGAATAGAATAGAATAGAATAGAATAGAATAGAATAGAATAGAATAGAATAGAATAGGAGCCTGAGTGGCGTAGGAGGCTAATGGCTCCTACTAAGGCAGCATTTAACATCCAGCTGCTTGCAATTACTGCGAGTTCAATTCTCACCAGGCTCAAGGTCGACTCAGCCTTCCATCCGTTCTAAGGTGGGTAAAATGAGGACCCGGTTTGTGGGGGCTATAAGATGACTTTGTATAAAATATACAAAAGTATGAAGGCTGTTGCTTAACGCATTGTAAGCCGCCCTAAGTCTCCGGAGAAGGGCGGCATATAAAAGTTTAAAAAAAAATAGAATAGAATAGAATAGAATAGAATAGAATAGAATAGAATAGAATAGAATAGAATAGAATAGAATAGAATAGATAAAATAGAATAGAATAGAATAGAATAGAAATGAAATTCTTTATTGGCCAAGTGTGATTGGGCACACAAGGAATTTATCTCCAGTGCATAAGCTCTCAGTGTACATATAAGCAACAAGTGATAAATCATGACCATAATACTAAAATACAATCATCATAAATCGTAAGAGAACACCACTCAGTGATAGTCATAGCATACAAAATAAGCAATCAACCTAATAATAAATAAAGGCAATCAACATAAACATAAGATACAAACAACAAAGTTATAGTCTTAAGATGCTAAAGGAATAGGAAATAGGAAAGATAAGAAGGATAGTAGTAATACAGCCCTACTGCATGGTTTGACGTAACACAGTGTTGTGGGAATTAGTTGTTTAGCAGAGTGATGGCATGGGGGGGAAACAACTGCCCTTGTGTCTAGTCGTTTTGATATGCAATACCTTATAGCTGTGATGGCGAACCTATGGCCATCTCTCTGGGCATGCCAGCTGTTACCCGCTGCTGTTCCAGGTTCGGCCGTGCACATGCATGCTAGCCAGCTGCTCTTCGCATGTGCGGGAGCACCAGAAACCAGAAAACCAGGTGACAGGTGCACATGCACATGCTGGAAACCAGAAGCTCAGCTTCCCAGTGTGCGCATGCACGCCGGGGAGCTGCTCTTCCGGTTTCCGGTGCTCCCCCTGTGCACGCACTCCCATTTCGGCACTCGGTGCCAAAAAGGTTCGCCAACACTGCCCTATAGCATTATAGGGCGATGAGCATTATAGGGTGATGAGGAAAACCATCACTTGTGGTGCAGGTATAGACACTTCCCAATATTTGGATATTTGAACATCTCTACTAAGGCCTTCCCAACCAAGGGCAGGAAGTACGGCTTGTCTTCACTGTTTTTGCCTGCCGTGGAACACATTGAAAGCAGGTAAAATCTTGCACCACAGGTGGAGCGAGGCAAAATCTATCCTCACTACGGTCAACAGGTTGAGAAAATTAAAACACATGGGAAATAGAAGGTCAAGTTGAAAGCTACACTTATAGAATCCTCTGCACCTAGAACAGGAGTGTCAAACTCAATTTCGTTGAGGGCCACATCAGGGTTGTGTTTGACCTCGGGGGTGGATGGGGAGCATGGCCATGATGGGCGTGGCCAGCTCAACATCACTTATGTCAGGGGCATCTGTGGTGACCCCGGCGAGGCTGGAGGGATCCACTTTTGCTAGTACCGTATTTTTCAGAGTATAAGACGCACCGGACTATAAGACACACCTACCTTTTTTGGTGAGGAAAACAAGAAAAAGAAATCCGGCCTCTGCCTCCCAGCAATTTTGCCTCATTGCAGCAAACAGCAAACAGCCTGCTTTACTTTCATTTTCAGCATAGCTTGATTAGCACAAGGAAAAAAAATCTGCTCCAGCAATTTGCCTCCTTGCAGCAAGCAGCAGAGGCCCGCACAAAACAGCTGAGAGCATAACAGCTGAGAGTCGGGAGGTCAATCCAATCAACTTGTGCTAATTAGGCTGTGCTGAAGCTGAAAGGAGCTGCTTCTTCTTGCTGTTTGCTTTCAAGGAGGTAACTGCTGGGAGGCAGAAGCCAAAGGGTGGGGGCCAGTGGGTGGGCAGGGCTACATTCGGTGTATAAGACGCACCTAAATTTTCACCCCCTTTTAGGGAGGAAAAAGGTGCGTCTTATACACCGAAAAATACGGTAGTTTGTTTTGCTAGCACTCTGTCAGTGAAAATGGAGCTCGTGGGGCCCTCGCGTAGCCTCCCCGGGCTCCATTTTCGGCTGTGATGGCCTCCTGCAGCCCTCTATCAGCAAAAAGGGCCACCACGCGCAGCCCTCCTGAGCTCCGTTTTTGCTGGCAGAGGCACTGCAGCCAGTCCTTCGCTGTTTCCATGGCAGCCTCACAAGCCAGATCTGAGCATCCCGTGAATCGGATCCGGCCCCTGGGCCTTGAGTTTGACACCACTGGCCTAGAACAACCATCATGGTCCACAATAATCCCCATTTATCTGAATGTACTTCCTTTGTTCATGTTTATGCTCATACCTATATTTGTCATCTTGTACATGTTTGACAAGCAAATAAATAAAATAAAATAAAATAAATAAATAAAATAATCAGGTCAGACCAGTTTCGAATCTTCGAGCGATTGCTTGCAAAGAGGGAATAGCACGGACTTTCTCTTAAAACAGCCATCCTAACGCACCTCAATGTTTTCAACTTTCACCAGGCTGTTCTCGGCAATGCTACACCCTGAGCTAAGATCTCACAGCTCCAGGTCCCACACCGAGAGGGGGTAGCTGCTTTGAGTGCTGAGAAAAGGGAGCAGCTCTTCATGGAAGCACGCTTGGAAGGTGTAGAGGTGGGTCATGCTGCTGCTGTTGTAAAAAGAGAGCTGCCCCCCTTCAAAGTCCAGGTAGACCCCAACTTTTTCCATCCTCCCACAGACCGAGAGGGACGTACGGGGCTCATTCAGAGCTTGGTACTCTCCCACCTTCAGCTCAATAGCCCACACCCCTTCCTTGGGTAGAAAGTTCAGCTGCTTCTTGCGCTTCACAGACTTTTTGGCCGTCCCCACTATCCAACCGGGGCTGTCCCCAACTTGGATCTCCCAGTAGAAGCGGCCAGTGGTAATGCCCTTCCGTCCCACCACACACGGGGTGGAGGTGAAGCGCTCCAGCTTTCGTCGCCAAAATCGTCGGCCAGGACTGAACTTGACCCCGGTGGCTTCTTCCACGAGGACCAAGCTGGGATGAGCTGAATTGCAGTCCAAAGTGATGCTTGCAGGGACTGGAGTGGAAAGATAGAAAGAATTCAGAATCAACAAGAGCCTTCTTGTGCAGCAGGCTTATTGCAGGAGTATAAAGTGGCCCAGAAAAAAATTAGACACAAATGAATCTAATATGAGCCAGCTGTTAATAAAGCTACTGCCATCCTCAACAGGTCTGAAGCTTCCTTTCTTTCCTTTAGCTCAAACTACATTACGGTGTAATTACATATAATACAGCTACCGACTGAATCTCCAAACTCGACATTAAACTCTGAAATGTTATTTCTATTTTCCTCTTAGGTTTTCTTACTGCTCTTTTTTTAATTAATTAATTAATTGATTTGATTTGATTTGATTTATATGCCGCCCTTCTCCGTAGACTCAGGGCGGCTTACAGTGCGTTAAGCAATAGCCTTCATACTTTTGTATATTTGTACAAAGTCAGCTTATTGCCCCCACAAACTGGGTCCTCAATTTACCTACCTTAGAAAGGATGGAAGGCTGAGTCAACCTTGAGCCTGGGGAGATTAGAATTTACTTTAATTGCAGACAGCTGGTGTTAAATTACAGTGCCTTGTCTGCAGAGCTATCCAGGCTCTTGTTTTAATTGTTTTAACCTGTAAAAATGAAGTGTTTTAATATTGTGTGTGAGACCAGCCATATGCTAAATAAATAAATACATATAATAGGGTAATTAGAGCAATTAAGCAATTATATTTGGAAGAGTTAGTGGTAAATGGAAACCAGGCCATCAAAAAACACGGTGGCTTGACACCATCAAAGCTGGACAACAGCCAGAGCATAGAAGAACTCAGAGAAGCGGTGCAAGGTTGAAAGATGGATATCATCATTACAGATTACAGATTAACAGAGTTGGAAGGGATCTTGTAGGTCATCTAGTCCAACCCCCCGCCCAAGCAGGAGACCCAACACCATTTCTGACAGATGGCAGTCCAGTCTCTTCTTGAAAGCCTCCAGTGATGAAGCTGCCACAACTTCCGAAGGCAAAGCTGTTCCATTGGTTGATTGTTCTCACTGTCAGAAAATTTCTCCTTATTTCTAGGTTGAATCTCTCCTTGGTCAGTTTCCATCCATTATTCCTTGTCTGGCCTTCAGGTGGTTTGGAAAATAGCTTGACCCCTTCCTCTCTGTGGCAGCCCCTCAAATACTGGAACACTGCTATCATGTCCCTCCTGTTCCTTCTCTTCTTCTTTTTTTTAAAAATTTTTTGTAATTTTATTAAAACGCACATTGGACATTTACACAACATACAACATATAAATAACTTTTCATATTTGAGCATTGTTTCATAGTAGTCTTCCAGTTATTACTTTAATTCTTCTTCCCCTTTATCTTAATCTATTACTCCATCTTCTTCCCCTCCTTTTCCCTTTTTTTTCCTTTTTCCCCTATAGAGAACTATACATTTTAGTTATGTCATTACTATTATACATTTCTACCTTCATATTTTTATTCCACTCCAAACATATGATACATCTCTATTTTGTACTTCTATTTTTCTCTCCTAATAGTTATTGTTCTTTATTGTTAGTCTTAAGCCAGTTATACCATTTATTCCATATTCTATAATATTCTGTCTCTTCTTTTTCCTTGATTTCTTTTGTTAATCTGTCCATCTCAGCGCATTCTAAAATCTTATCTATTAGTTCTTCCTCCGTTGGGGTTCTTTCCTGTTTCCAGTTTTTTGCACATGTTATTCGTGCTGCTTGGTCCTTCTCTTCACTAGACTAACCATGCCCAGTTCCTGCAACTGTTCTTCATATGTTTTAGCCTCAAGTCCCCTAATCATCTTTGTTGCTCTTTTCTGCACTCTTTCTAGAGTCTCCACATCTTTTTTATAGTGTGGTGACCAAAACTGGATGCAGTATTCTAGGTGTGGTCTTACCAGGGCTTTATAAAGTGGTATTAGTACCTCACGTGATCTTGATTGTATCCCTCTGTTAATGCAATTTAGGATTGCGTTGGCTTTTTTTGGCTGCCGCAGCATTGCTAGCTCATATTTAGCTGATTATCCACTAAGACTCCAAGAGCCCTCTCACAGTTACTACTATTAAGCCTGGTTTCACCCAGTTTATATGTGTACATCATCATCATCATCAGATTACAGGGTTATTGCTGTAGGGTACATAGCCTTGAACTTCCAGAGAAAAAATAGGGTGTAAAAGTAATACATCTACTGTATAATCAATATAGGTAATCCTCAACTTGCAACAGTTCATTTAGTGACCACTCAGAGTTTTCAAATCACTGAAAAAAAATGACTTCATTTTTCACACTTTACAACCGTTGTAGCACCTCCCATGGTCACATGATCTACCTTCAGATGCTTGAAACTGACTCACACTTATGACGGTCGCAATGTCCGGGAATCACGTCATCTGCCTTTTGCAACCTTCTGACAAGCAAAGTCAACGGGGAAACCAGATTCACTTAACAAGTGTGGCAAGAAAAGTAGCAAAAGGGGCAAAACCCGCTTAATAAAATTCTCACCTAACAACATACATTTTGGGCTCAACTGTGGTCGTAAGTCGAGGACAACCTGTACATTTGGCCTAAAAACCTTAACTCACCTGGATGTACCGCACCCAGGAGCTCCTTCCAGGCGTAGAATTGCAGAGGTCCTTTAAACTCGCCCAGGGTCAAGTCTACAGCCACCACTCCATCTTCCTCCTCCTCTTCCTTCTCCTCTTCTTCTTCCTCTGCTGTCTCTTGTTCTTCCTCCTCTTCTTCCTCTTCTTCTTCCTCCTCCTCCTCTTCCTCCTCTTCTTCTTCCTCCTCTTCCTCCTCATCAACCTCTTCATCAATCTCATTCTCACACTCATCTGTGTCTTCACTGCTGACCCCCGGCCCATCTTCTCCTACCAGTTCAGCATCTAAGTCGGGTTCCTCCGGAGCTCCTTGTTCCTTACGGACCCTGTAGGAGAAGAGCATCCCAAGGATCAGCCATTTAAGAATAAGCTGCCCCAATAGCAATAGCACTTAGACTTATATACCGCTTCACAGTGCTTTACAGCCCTCTCTAAGCAGTTTTACAGAGTCAGTATTATTGCCCCTAAACAATCTGGGTCCTCCTTTTACCCACCTCGGAAGGATGGAAGGCTGAGTCAACCTTGAGCCTGGTGAGATTCGAACTGCCAAATTGCAGGCAACCGCTACCTGGCAGCCAGCAGAAATAGCCTGCAGTACAGCTCTATCTATCAAACCTAGAGGAATCACATCTGGGTCCTTCTATAGAAAGGTATCTGAGTACTTCTGATAAAAAAAGAATGATGCTGCCATTTCTTTTTCTTTCACCTCTTTAATGGATTTTATCCAACAAGGAAAAATAGCATGGAAAATATTTCTACAAAAATGGGAGGATTAGAATTGGAAGACAAGTCCACCTGGGACGTCTCCTGCTCCATAAATCAGGTTTTATTAGAAGCACCCATGCATTTTTAAAATAATCACAGCAGAGAACAGTGCTAAGCCAACATAGGATGATTTCCAAAAAAAGTTAGGTAGATTCAGATCTGATGAATACTTCCCAGGGAAGCTGCAAAAACCAGGAGGTGGTGATGGCCATACTATTGCCAAGAAAATGCCCACATCATCATCAGAAGTGAAGACTCGTCCAAGAAATTTTAATCTGTTTTAAATTATTGGGGTGTTTTAATTTGTCAGGGCCAGAATTATTTAATTCGATTTTATCTGGTTTTTAATTTTTTTGTATCTATGTATTTTATTGTTTGGCTGTTCACCACCCTGAGTCCTTCGGGAGTAGGGCGGTATACAAATCAAATAAAGTAAAGTAAAGTAAAGTAAAGAAAATCTCCACTTTTTCTTTTTGTAGTTTTACAAAGATTTTAGAAGTAATTTGGGTAGGAGCCAAAGGGTCAGAAGAACATTTTCCATCCCAATTAAACTCTTTTCATGGCCAAATCAACCTTCCTTTGCCTCTACTCCCAAGAAGGAAGAGGAGCCAACTTTTCAGTGGTAGGTTTACTCCCGGTTTGCACCCGTTCGCAAGAACCGGTAGTAAAAACTTGTAGTAGTTCCGAGAACCGGTAATAACATTGGCTGGCCACGCCCCTGAACCGGTCCCCGGCCCAATCGCCGATCGCTTACCCCGCCCACCTCATCAGAGGCTTTTTTTTTTAACTTTTAAAAGCATTTTTTCTACAACCTCTTTGGCCGAAAAAATGCTTTTAAAAGTAAAAAAAAAAAGCCTCTGATGATCCTGCGGCTCAGCTGGGATCGGCAGAGGCTTTTCAAAGCATTTTTTTATGCAACCTCTTAAGGCTGTAGAAAAAATGCTTTTAAAAGTAAAAAAATGAAAAGTTGGCCACGCCCACCCAGTCACATTACCCACCACCACCAAGCCACGCCCACAAAATAAGCCACACCCACAGAACCGGTAGTAAAAAAAATTAGAACCCACCCCTGCAACTTTTGTAGTTATAACTACAACTTATAACTGTAGCAGAATTTTTTAATGGACGTAAACAAGTAGCCATCTTCCCTTCCGTATACTGCATGGAGGAGCTTCACCTACTCATTTTGGCAAATCCAGCAGCTTCTGAAAGGTGGAAGAGGAAGTCATGCCTACAGTGAGGAGGCAAAGTAATATACCCTGTATCAGGGGTGTCAAAATCAAGGCCCGCAGGTCGGATCTTGCCCACGGGGTGCTTAGATCTGGCCTGTGGGGTCGCCCTGGAAACAACGAAGGACTGGCCCACGATGCCTCTGCCAGTGAAAACGGACCTCATGAGGGTCATACGCGGCTCTCCCAATCTCTGTTTTCACTGGCAGAGGGTTTCAGGAGGCCATTGCAGCTGAAAACGGAGCTCAGGAGCCCATTTTTGCTGGCACAGGTGCCCCCAACACGAGTGACGTCAAGCTGGCCATGCCCACCTTGGCCACGCCCCCCAGGTCAAACACAACCCTGATGTGGCCCTCAATGAAATCAAATTTGACACCCTTGTCCTGTAGGGTCAATCCTCCCTGTTGGTTCATGCTTTTCTTCCTTTTCTTCCTTCCTATATATTTATTATATGCATATATAATAAAATATATAAATGCATATATTATATGCATTTATGATAGTTGCCACACGGGGGGTGGGGGTTTCCAGAGGTGGGTTTCAGCAGATTCTGATCAGTTCTGGAGAACCGGTAGCAGAAATTTTGAGTAGTTCGGAGAACCGGTAGTAAAAATTCTGACTGGCCCCCACCCCCATCTAATCTCTGCCTCCCAAGTCCCAGCTGATCGGGAGGAAATGGGGATTTTGCAGTAACCTTCCCCTGGAGTGGGGAGGGAAGGGAGATTTTACAGTATCCTTCCCCTGCCACACCCACCAAGCCATGCCATGCCGTGCCACGCCCACCAAGCCACGCCCACAGAACCGGTAGTAAAAAAATTTGAAACCCACCACTGGGGGGGTTCACGTGACAGCCGTTTGCAACTTTCCAAGCAAGCAAAGTCAATGGGGGGAAGCTGGATTTGCTTAACAACTGCAGCAATTCACTTAACAACAGTGGCCCAAAAAAAGTTTGGGGGCGACATTTAACAACCACCTTGCTTATGAAAGGAAATGTTGGTCCTAACTTTGACTGTAATGTGAGGTATAAGAAAAGAGAAACACTACTTACCTCTCTAGCAACTCTTTTGCCTCCTGTGGGAGTGGAGGAGGGAGAGAAGGAAGGAAGGAAGGAAGGAAGGAAGGAAGGAAGGAAGGAAGGAAGGAAGGAGGGAGGGAGGGAGGGAAAGAAAGAAAGAAAGAAAGAAAGAAAGAAAGAAAGAAAGAAAGAAAGAAAGAAAGAAAGAAAGAAAGAAAGAAAGAAAGAAAGAAAGAAAGAAAGAAAGAGTGGCTGTAATTTGATATATAAGAAAAGAGAAACACTACTTACCTCTCTAGCAACTCTTTTGCCTCCTGTGGGTGGGGAGGAGGGAGAAAAGGAAGGAAGGAAGGAAGGAAGGAAGGAAGGAAGGAAGGAAGGAGGGAGGGAGGGAGGGAGGGAGAGAGAGAAAGAAAGAAAGAAAGAAAGAAAGAAAGAAAGAAAGAAAGAAAGAAAGAAAGAAAGAGTGGCTGTAATTTGATATATAAGAAAAGAGAAACACTACTTACCTCTCTAGCAACTCTTTTGCCTCCTGGGGGAGGGAAGGGGGGAGGGAGGGAGGGAGGGAGAGAGAGAGAGAGAGAAACAAAAGTGAGATAACAGTCAAAATAATTCTTTCTGTGGATAATCACCCACTTTCCTGCCAAAGCGTTCTGCATTTTAATGGCACACAAACAGATTCTACCCTCAGTAGATCCTCAGCCGAGTTTATTATCAGGAAAAAAATCCCGGTGAAATGCTATCACAACAAATATAGAAGAAACAAAAATTGAGGACTGTAGAGTCAGAGTGCTTGAGATGCCACTGAAAACCCAAGGTGATATAAAGCGCATATACTGTACTGATCGATCTCTCTTTTATATAAACAAACACTGTGGAATCTAGCAATTGTTACAGGAAATCAGTTCTTACTTATTTTATTTGTTTAAGAAAATTGACCTGGCCACCCAACTGACTCTCAGTGATTCTGGGTGGCTTAGAAAGATAAAGAAAATGTAGAGATTTTGTCAGTGGCGACAAAAACTAATTGAATGAATTATGGTGTGAGAAGTGTTATATTTCAATACATTTTATTCTTTATACGGTTTCCATCTTCCCTTAAAATATTAACAGAATCCACAGTGGTCTGAGAATCAGTGTCTCCAAGTTAATCAAATGAGCAAACTTCCTCAAATCCCAAAATAAATTACCCAGGCCTAAATCCACATATCAAAGGATAAGGTCTGCAAACACAAACTAAGTCTCCCAGCAGAACTGTATGTTCACAAACATACACACACATACACCCTCAGCACATAAACACTTCCACATCCCGGACAAACTCCTTCTATAAAAGTTTGCCACTGTACCCCGTTTCTCTACAGCCTGTCCCTAAAAGAAAATTATTTTGCTTTTAGGAATAAACAGGAATAAACAACATTCTTTCCTCACAGCTGCCTGGATCTCATTTTTATTTATTCTTGTGCAACCCCGGCTCAGGTTGGAAGCCCAAATTATTCTTCTGACAATGGTTTGGTGCAATCTATGCACCCAGCAATTTTCTTCTTCCCAAGAAAAAAACCCACAACCCCTGGTCCTCCTTACCTTAAGGAAACTAATGTGGTCTTTGCATTCAAGGCCGGTCTGTACACGACAAAGAGTTTCTGAACGTGAGGCCATTTTCCAGTCCAGTTCCTTTAACTTGGTTTCCATCTGAGCCAAGTTCTTTTCTCTCTGGTTTTCTAAGGCCTGTTTTATAGCCAGCTCTCTGTCGTTCAGCAGCTGGTGCATCTTCACAAACTCTCCAGAGACGTGATCAGACAAGGATTCGGAGCAGGTCTGGAAAAACAGAGATGGGACACAGCAAAAGGTTGTGGTTTGGTCAAACAGAAATGATCACCTGTCCACAATGGTGTTGGTTTTGGGGTAGACTCCTGAGAATACCTTGGATAGCCATCAAAAATAAATAAATGGACCATCAAACAAATCAATTGATCTTTTATTTGAAGCACTAATGACTCAAAACATCCTACTTGGGGTATGTGCAGAGATGGGACTTGAATAACTTAACAACCTGGCTGGATAGGCGTGGCCGGTTGGTCATGTGACTGGGTGGGTGACATCATTCATCACACCCAGCCCCGCCTTCTGGCCCTTCTCCTCAAAGGCAGAGGTAGGATTCAGCCGGTTGGTACTAATCCCACCACTCCCTCCCCCACCCATTTTTGGCCGTTTTTTGGCCATTTTCAGGCTGGTTTTTTGGCCGTTTTCAGACTGTTTTGGGACCATTTTCAGGCCATTTTTTGAGCTATTTTCAGGTCATTTTTCAGGACATTTTCAGGCTGTTTTTTGGATTACTTTTAAGTCATTTTCAGGCTGTTTTTTTGGCCCAGAAACTGGCCAAAAGATGGGCCAAAAAACCAGCCAAAAATGTCTGAAAAACAGACCATTTTTTGAGCCATTTTTGAGCCATTTTCAGGCTGTTTTTCAGGCCGTTTTGGGAGAATTTTTGGACCGTTTTTTGGGCCATTTTCTGGGCCACTTTTCAGGCCATTTTTGGCCTGAAAATGGCCCAAAACGGGCCGAAAAATGGGCCAGAAAACAGGCCAAAAAATGAGCAGGGGTGGGGCCAGCCAGTGGTGGGATTTGCTAATTTGCCGAACTGCGCAGAATCGTAACTACCAGTTCTCCCGAACCTGTGCGAACCAGCAGCAGCCCATCTCTGGGCATGTGATGCAAAGTCCTAACTTTCTTAAGGAGGCTCTAATACTAGGAAAGATGGAAAGAAAAAGAAGATGAAGAAGAACAAAAGCAAAGATGGTGGACATAGTTACAGTGGCAATGGGGGCACCATTGGAAGATCTGAAAAACGACCTTAGGGATAAATTGTCATGGAGAAACTCTGTTTTGCTAGCAGTTGAAAACTACTTGATGGCATATAATTTATTTTATTTATTTATTAAATTTATATGCCACCCATTTCACTGTCAGGTAACTCATAATCAATCAATCAACACCACTATGTTGATTACCTAAGCAACACCAGCAATTTAAATCTTTTGCCTTTTTATTATAATGTAGTGACAGCACACATATACACACAAAGGTACATACGTTCACACAAAGTTCCATTTATGTACATACGCACACACACACAAAGTTCTGTGGGGTCCTTGCTGCTTTCTGAGTTTGATTGTTGTTGTTATTTTGTAGACGTCTCATTACCAAACTAAGTAATATCATCAGTGCTAGAATGGAGTGCAAATCCCACTCCCTTCTAGAACAGATAATGTTAGCTAGTTGAGTAACGAAACATCTGCAAGAAAACAAGCAAGTTCAGAAAGCACCAAGAACCCCACCCTTCAAACCTGAGCTACAAATATTCCCTTCTATCGGTACACAAAGTTCTAATTATAAGAGTGTCTTTTGTGGTACCATAGCTTAGAGCATCACAGTACTTCTAAATGTTTAAAACTAAATTGAGAATCTTGGGGGAAGAGGGAACAGAATGGAATATCCTGAAAAATGCATGGTTGACAACTTTGGCGACTATAGCATATTTATTTATTTATTTATTTATCTGAATGCGAATCAAATAAGCAGATAGGTTTTCTTTTCCTTGGACTGAATTGCAGGAGCCTGGGTTAAATGCTGACTATGAAACACCTAATATTAATATTAATGAGCTGCAAATAGTAGCATCAAAAGCAATAGTTGCTGGGATGAAGAGAGAGAAGATACACTTGGTTTAGCATTAAACAGGAAGTCCCAACCCTCACCACTTCCCAGCTGCACCTTTAATTCGATAATGTTCTCCTGCTGGTGGCACTGGCTCCTTTTCAACCGCCTGAGACCTTCCTCAAGAGGCTCCAGAGATGCCTTCAGCCGGTCCTGAAAGGAAAAGAACATTCAGATGTCACATAAAATGAACACCAGCATTTGACTGACCCCAGGACAATTTTATACCTCCCTGGTACTTTCAGACGCTAATCCTGCTATGACATTTCTGTTGCCAGGTTCTACTCAGCAGCCCTTAAAATCCATCAGACCTCTGTCCCCCAACCAGCCCTAACTAGTATTTATTACGATAGTTGATAGATTTAGCTACCAATCTATTAATTTTGGATGTTCCCCTGCATTTATTTAAGGTATTTCTTTTTGCTGGTAGATCTGGTTTATACTTTCCTTTTTATGTATATCTTTCAGATTTTTTAAGTGTATGGTTTTGTGCAGGTTTTCTTTTTATACTTTTTAGCTTCTTTCCCAGTGATCCTGCTCCTCATATAATGGCCTTAAGCTAGTTTATCATTCCCAAACCAATTCCCACAATTAAACTCTTTCCTCAACTCCCCTCATCAACAGCAGCTACACAAATGCAGATGACTTGAAGGGAAACAACTAGGGATTTTAAAAAAACAGCAACCTCTTATCCTTTGCTGCCACCTAGTGGTCAATAAAATCAATTAGTGTATCCTCCCTGACGAATTCTACCTAATCTATGTGAGATACGAATTCAGTATTCATGTTTCTTCATGCCTTTCAGAGTAAAAATCTACTTATACTTCCTGGTAAATATTTGGGAGGCTTCAAAAACTCCTACATTCAGTGTCTCTACCGTGAACTCTACTTGTACTTTATCTTGGCTTGCAAAATAAGCTGCCTAGAATATCCCCATGGTGAGATAAGTGGCAAATAAATTTCATAGATAGATAGATAGATAGATAGATAGATAGATAGATAGATAGATAGATAGATAGATAGATAGATAGATATGAATGGACAGACGGACAGACGGACAAACAGAGGGGGAGGGAGGGGGGAGGGGGAGGGAGGGGGGAGGGGGAGGGAGGGGGGAGGGGGAGGGAGGGGGGAGGGAGAGGGGGAGGGGGACGGAGGGAGGGAGGGAGGGAGGGAGGGAGATAGATAGATAGATAGATAGATAGATAGATAGATAGATAGATAGATAGATATGGATGGATGGATGGATGGATGGATGGACAGACGGACAGATGGGAGAGGGGGAGGGAGATAGATAGATAGATAGATAGATAGATAGATAGATAGATAGATAGATAGATAGATAGATAGATAGATAGATAGATAGATAGATGGATGGATGGATGGATGGATGGATGGATGGATGGATGGATGGATGGACGGACGGACGGACAGACAGACAGACAGACAGACAGACAGATAGATGATAGATAGATAGATATGGATGGACAGATGGACAGATGGCAGATGGACAGAGGGAGAGGGATAGATAGATAGATAGATAGATAGATAGATAGATAGATAGATAGATGATAGATAGATAGATAGATAGATAGATAGATAGATAGATAGATTGATACCGTGTTTCTCAGAAAATAGGACCCTGTCTTATATTTTTTTGAACCCCAAAATAAGCGCTTGGCCTTATTTTTGAGGTCTTACTATTTTGGGGTGCGTTGAGCAAGATGGGGCTCCTCTTGCCGTCTTATCTGATTTCCAGCTCTGTCTCCCTAACCCTAACCAGAGGAAATGGCGGGGACTGGCTGTGTATGCGTTTAAATATTTTCAGGGAGGGCTTATTTTCGGGGAAGGACTTATTTTCGGGAAAACACAAAAGATAGATATGGATGTACAGACAGAGGGAGAGGGAAAGGGAGAGGGAGAGGGATAGATAGATAGATAGATAGATAGATAGATAGATAGATAGATAGATAGATATGGATGGACAGATGGGCAGATGGACAGACGGAGGGAGAGGGAGAGGGAGAGGGAGAGGGAGAGGGAGAGGGAGAGGGAGAGGGAGAGGGAGAGGGAGGGGGAGAGGGAGAGATGGATAGATAGATAGATAGATAGATAGATAGATAGATAGATAGATAGATAGATATGGATGGGCAGATGGACAGACGGAGGGAGAGGGAGAGGGAGGGAGAGGGAGAGGGAGCGGGAGCGGGAGAGGGAGAGGGATAGATAGATAGATAGATAGATAGATAGATAGATAGATAGATAGATAGATAGATAGATAGATACATACATACATACATACATACATACATACATACATACCATGTTTCCCCAAAAATAAGACCCCGTCTCATATTTTTTGAACCCCGAAATAAGCAATTGGCCTTATTTTTGGGGAGGTCTTACTATTTTGGGGTGCGTGGAGCAAGACGGGACTCCTCTTGCCATCTTACCTGATTATGCTACGTATGCGTTTAAATATTTTCAGGGAGGGCTTATTTTCCGGAAAACACGATAGATAGATATGGATGCACAGATGGATAGACAGAGGGAGAGGGAGAGGGAGAGGGAGAGGGAGGGGAGAGGGAGAGGGAGAGATAGATGGATAGATGGATGGATGGATGGATGGATGGATGGATGGATGGACGGACAGACAGACAGACAGACAGACATAGCTGGACAGACGGAGAGAGAGAGTTAGAGGGAGAAGGAGTGAGAGAGAGATGGATGGATGGATGGTTGGATGGAGAGGGGGAGGAAGAAGGAGAAGGAGGGAGATAGATAGATAGATAGATAGATAGATAGATAGATAGATAGATAGATAGATAGATAGATATGGATGGATGGATGGATGGATGGACAGACGGACAGATGGGAGAGGGGGAGGGAGATAGATAGATAGATAGATAGATAGATAGATAGATAGATAGATAGATGGATGGATGGATGGATGGATGGACGGACGGACAGACAGACAGACAGACAGATAGATGATAGATGATAGATAGATAGATAGATATGGATGGACAGATGGACAGATGGCAGATGGACAGAGGGAGAGGGATAGATAGATAGATAGATAGATAGATAGATAGATGATAGATAGATAGATAGATAGATAGATAGATAGATAGATAGATAGATAGATAGATAGATAGATAGATTGATACCGTGTTTCTCAGAAAATAGGACCCTGTCTTATATTTTTTTGAACCCCAAAATAAGCGCTTGGCCTTATTTTTGAGGTCTTACTATTTTGGGGTGCGTTGAGCAAGATGGGGCTCCTCTTGCCGTCTTATCTGATTTCCAGCTCTGTCTCCCTAACCCTAACCAGAGGAAATGGCGGGGACTGGCTGTGTATGCGTTTAAATATTTTCAGGGAGGGCTTATTTTCGGGGAAGGACTTATTTTCGGGAAAACACAAAAGATAGATATGGATGTACAGACAGAGGGAGAGGGAAAGGGAGAGGGAGAGGGATAGATAGATAGATAGATAGATAGATAGATAGATAGATAGATAGATAGATATGGATGGACAGATGGGCAGATGGACAGACGGAGGGAGAGGGAGAGGGAGAGGGAGAGGGAGAGGGAGGGGGAGAGGGAGAGATGGATAGATAGATAGATAGATAGATAGATAGATAGATAGATATGGATGGGCAGATGGACAGACGGAGGGAGAGGGAGAGGGAGAGGGAGGGAGAGGGAGAGGGAGCGGGAGCGGGAGAGGGAGAGGGATAGATAGATAGATAGATAGATAGATAGATAGATAGATAGATAGATAGATAGATAGATAGATAGATACATACATACATACATACATACATACATACATACCATGTTTCCCCAAAAATAAGACCCCGTCTCATATTTTTTGAACCCCGAAATAAGCACTTGGCCTTATTTTTGGGGAGGTCTTACTATTTTGGGGTGCGTGGAGCAAGACGGGACTCCTCTTGCCATCTTACCTGATTATGCTACGTATGCGTTTAAATATTTTCAGGGAGGGCTTATTTTCCGGAAAACACGATAGATAGATATGGATGCACAGATGGATAGACAGAGGGAGAGGGAGAGGGAGAGGGAGAGGGAGAGGGAAAGGGAGAGGGAGAGGGAGAGGGAGAGGGAGAGGGAGAGGGAGAGATAGATGGATGGATGGATGGATGGATGGATGGATGGATGGATGGATGGATGGACGGACGGACAGACAGACAGACAGACAGACATAGCTGGACAGACGGAGAGAGAGAGTTAGAGGGAGAAGGAGTGAGAGAGAGATGGATGGATGGATGGTTGGATGGAGAGGGGGAGGAAGAAGGAGAAGGAGGGAGGGAGAGAGAGAAGATAGATAGATAGATAGATAGATAGATAGATAGATAGATAGATAGATAGATAGATAGATAGATAGACAGACAGACAGACAGACAGATAAATAGGTAGGTAGGCAGGTAGGCAGGTAGGCAGGTAGGCAGATTAGTGTCTTGTTCAACCAGAGACCACCTTCTTTCTCTTCCCAGGTCCAGTTCTCACCTGATAGGTCTGAACTGCATTTTTGATGGGCAGGAAGTCGTGTCCCCGGTGCTGAGGCAAGTCCCGGCAGATGACGCAAACGGGCTCCTCATCTTGGCTGCAGAAGAGCTTAAGAGGCTCTTCGTGTTCCTCACAGAAGTACCAGCCTCCGGTGCTGCTCAGCTGAGTCCCTTCATCCAGCTTCAGAAGCCGGGCTTTCTCAGCCAAGCTGCAGAGGGCTCGGTTGATCGTCATGCGGCGCAAAGCGAAGGGGCGGCGGCACTCAGGGCAAAGGCCCCGTCTTTGCCCTTTGGGAATGCAGGGCTCCAGGCAGGGAGCGCAGAAGCTGTGGCCACACTCCAGCATGTGGGGCTCCCGAAAGAGGGAGAGGCAAATGGGGCACAGCAGGTCTTCAGTGAAACTGGACACTTCTCGTACTGAAGCCATGTTGGTCGATTCAAAGAGAGCTTGAACAGATTTCCCAAGTTAGAACAGCTTCTATTTCTGCCTGTTGTATGAACATAGAACATAGAACATAGGGTTGGAAGGGACTTTGGAGGTCTTCTAGTCCAACCTTCTGCCTAAGTAGAAGACCCTATACTATTCCAGACATTGGCTGCCCAATTTCTTCTTTAAAACCTCTAGTGATGGAGCACCCACAACTTCAACATTATGCAAACACAAGCAATAGAACACTGTCAAACTAGAGTCCTAAGAGAGCTAATTTCAATAAACATAGAGAGAGAGCTTGGGAAGGATTCCATGGATGAGAATCCTCAAGAGGAAAACAACTCAAGAAACTTGGGAAATTTTGCTTGACTTCCGGTGGCTCCGCGGACGACGAGGACGGTCTCCATAGACCGCCAGCCACCCGATCTGTAAAAACCGCCCTGACAGCGCTAAACAGCTGTCCGGCGGTTTGAAAAAACTCTCCTTCGGGCAAAGAAGGAGAGGAGAGTCGGAGGGGGTGGGTAGAGCTCCCCAAAAGTCACTGGATTAATTCCAGGGACTCGGAGGGTGAGAGCTCCCTAGTTCACCCCTCCCATTGCTCCGGATCGCTGGTGCCTCTGTTAATCAGAGCAAGACGTCTGCGTCCAATTCTGCCGGCAAACAGTGAGTTTTAATGATTTCTAACAAGGCAGACAGAGCGGAAGCAAGAGTGCAAGCTTTCTAAAAGAAACAGAACTTAACTCCGTGAATACATTGTTGCAAACGGAGCTCTCTTGAGCTGGAGGCTGGAGAGGAAGCCTTTGTTATGGGCGGAAGGGAAAGTGAAAGTTAAAGGGAAACTGCTTGTTAAGAGCCCTCTGCCTGAAGAGTAAACTGCTGGGGATTGAGTATAGCTTGAAGAGAGGATTGTTTATTTTGGAAAAACTTTGAAATATACTTTGTAAGACTGTTTATAAGATTCTGTGGCTGTAAAAGGAAAAAACTTTTTTTAAAATAAAATGGCTGCTAAACAACTAAAGCCACCAACTTCTAAAGGGGGAGGAGGTTCCCCTGTAGTGACTCAAAAACAACAACTTCCAGCTGATACACAGTCACAAGACCTTAAAGAATTTATAATGGGTGCCCTGAACAATCAGACAGAAATGATGAAAGAATTTTCAGAGGAGCTAAAGAAACTTACAAGTGTAGTGGAGGAAAAACATGATGAAATAAGAGATGACATTGTTTATGCAGTTTCAGGACTGGCTACTCATATGTTAAAGATTGAGGAGAGAATACGGGAAATTGATGATGCTAACTTGGAGCTTGCAACTAAAGTAGGAGAGGTTATGATACAAACAGAGAAAATGGATGACGAAATGGTTATGTTACAATACAGATCAATGGAATTTGCCCTGAGGCTGAGAGGTTTGAAAGAAAAGAGTGGTGAAAATTTAAAAGATGTTTGCTCCAATGCTTTAGCAGAGCTGATCTCAGAAAGGCCAGAAGATGTGGCAATTCAAATGGACAAAATTTACAGGGTCAATTCCTGGCTGGCAAAACAAAAGCAGCTACCAAGAGATGTGGTGATTTATTTTACAACAAGGAGAGTTAGAAATGACATTTTGCAAGCTTCTTACAGAAACAAGACTAAAGTGGAGGGACAAGAGCTGGTGGTCCTGAAAGAGCTTCCTCCTAAAATGTTAAGAGACAGAAAGCAGTTTGGTTTTTTGGTGAATGAACTAAGAAACCAGCAGCTCCAGTACAGATGGGATGTCCCATTTGGGATAATAGTGACATACGCTGGCAAAGATATCGTTTAAACACAGTTGGAAAGGCAAAAGATTTTTATGCTAATGTTTTAAAGGCTGGAAGGCCACCCTCACCAGGGGGTGCTAGAAAGCAATTGGAAATTACACAACAAGAGAAAGATGGAGGGCAACCACAAACTTATGCTCAAGCACTAGCTGGAGGAGCCAATCTGGAAGAAGATCCACTATTGAGTGGGGGTCCACCACCAACCCTTGAGTCATTAACGATGATACAGCTGCCAAAAGATCAACGATTGACAAGAGCTACTTACAAACAACATCTGGCACAACAGCCTCAAGATTCAACCCAACAAGCCCAAAAAACACAAGCAGTGGGAGGAGCTAGGCCGAAGTCTAAAATGGTGGAGGAGGTTCAGCTGATGCTCTCAAAGCTTGGAACGCCCAGAGATGGCAAATAAATTTTTATCTTGGAATGTTAACGGTTTAAATTCTCCACAAAAAAGAAAGAAAATATTTCACTATTTGAAGCAATTTCAGAACGATGTCATTTGTTTGCAAGAAACGCATATTAAATCCTCAGATCAAAAGTACTTGATAAATTCGAAATTAGGTACACATTTTATGGCATCAGCACCAGAAAAGAAAAATGGACTAGTTATATACGTTAAAAGAGGCTTAGTGGCCAATTTAATTGAGGCTGACACTCAAGGTAGATATATTGCAATCGAATTAACAACACAGAATGGGAAGCTGCTTGTAATTGGAGTATATGCACCTAATCAACAACAAGATAAATTTTACAAACTTTTACATACCAAAATATTACAATGGGATTATAGATCTTTACTTCTAATGGGTGATTGGAATAGGGTATTAAATACCCAGAAAGATAAAAAAAGTCTTTCCAAGATTTCCATGCGTGCTAAGTTGCCTAAATCTTTTTTTGATATCTTGGAGGATATGGAGCTCAGAGACATTTGGAGAGAAAGGAACGTATTGGAGAGTGATTTTACTTTTTTTTCAGATAGGCATCAATCTTTTTCTAGGATTGATTTTATATTAACTACAAATGATCTTTTTTCTAGGGTGAAGAGTACGAAGATATGTCCAAGAACTTTAACTGATCACAGCCCGGTTTGGGTGGAACTAGAGCAGGAAAGAGGGGAAAGGAGGTCTTGGAGGTTAAATGAGAATTTATTTAGATATGAAGATAACTTGTGTGAGCTTAAAAAACAAATGAAAGAATTTTTTGTTAACAATATGAATAAAGGAACTTCGATGGAGATGGTATGGGATGCGTGTAAGGCATATATGAGAGGAACATTAATTTTTTTGAATAATAAATATAGATTAAAACAACAAAACAGACGGAAAGAGATAGAGGAGGAAATTAAAAAGAAAGAACAATTGCTTATAATTAACCTGGGAGATAAAAAGGCAAAAGATATGATTAATATCTTAAGAGAGCAATTTAATATGTTAATGGCTGGGCAAGTAGCAACCAGCATACAATATGCCAGACATAATACATTTTGTAATGCTAATAAACCTGGGAGATGGTTGGCTTACACGATGAGGAAAAAACAGAAATCACGTGTTATAGACAAGATAGAATTTAGAGGTAAAGAGATTTATCAACAGAACTTAATAAAAAAGGCCTTTTTGGAGTTCTATACAAAGTTATATGCTAAAGATGCAATTCAAGATGTTGATATTGATAGATATTTAAAGTTGGAGATTCCTGAATTAACGCTGGAACAGAGAGAGAGACTGAATCAGCCAATAACTTCCGAGGAAATTGTTGGGGCAATTAAACAATTAAAAATAGGTAAGGCTCCGGGAACAGATGGACTAACAGCTGTTTATTATAAACATTTACAATCTGAAATGTTAGAACCACTCAAAATTTTATTTAATAAAATACAAGTAGGAGGAGGAGTACCACCTTCTTGGAAAACAGCCTTTGTCTCACTAATTCCAAAGGAGGACCAAAATTCCATTAAACCTGAGAATTTCAGGCCAATTTCACTTCTGAATACTGATTATAAGATTTTTGCTAAAATATTAGCTAATAGATTAATGCCAGTTATGCAACAAATAATTCACAATGATCAATCAGGGTTTATAAAAGGGAGACAAATGAGATATAATGTTAGACAAATTGTAAACTTATTGGAATATTTGGAAAAAAATAATCAAGTCCTTGCAGCGTTTATATTTTTGGATGCAGAGAAGGCATTTGATCGTTTGAACTGGCAATTTTTGTTCAAAATAATAGAGAAAATGCACTTTGGGGAATATTTTACACAATCAATTAGAGCGATATGCCAGCAGCAAACAGCACAAATTATAGTTAATGGAGGTTTAACAGAGGCTTTTAAAATTGAGAAAGGAACAAGGCAGGGGTGTCCTCTGTCCCCACTATTATTTATTTTGACTTTGGAGGTACTATTGAATAAGATACGTGAATCAGAAAAATTGAAGGGTATTGTAATTAGACAACAAGATTATAGATTAAGAGCATTTGCAGATGACTTGGTTATTACTTTATCCCAACCTATAGAGTCGGCTCCATATATATGGGATATAATTGATCAATACGGGAAAGTATCAGGATTTAAAGTTAATTTACATAAGACAAAGATGATAGTTAAAAATATGACTATACTTGAAAGAGATAAACTAGCAAGATTAACAGATTTTGAAATAGTTAAAAAGGTTAAATATCTAGGGGTATACATAGCAGCTTCAAATACAAAATTATACAAAAACAATTATGAGGTACTTTGGCAGAAGGTACAGAAGGTTATGGAAAATTGGAAAAAAATACAGTTGTCTTTATTGGGAAGAATTGCAGCAATTAAAATGAATGTTTTACCTAGATTTTTATTTTTGTTCCAAATGATACCTGTGCTTAAGAAAGATAAAAATCTGAGAGAATGGCAGAAAGGTGTTAATACTTTTATTTGGGCTGGGAAAAAACCCAGAATAAAAATGAAAATTATACAAGATACACGTGAAAGAGGGGGTCTTAAAATGCCTAATTTAAGATTATATTATGAAGCAGCGGTTTTATCACAAATTAGTGATTAGTTTAATTTAACTGAGGGGAGAATTTTGAATTTAGAAGGTTATGATTTGTTATATGGATGGCATGCTTATTTGTTATATGACAAAAAAGTGGATAAAGTATTTAAGGTTCATATATTAAGAAATGCTTTGTTAAGGGTTTGGAAAAAATATCAATAGAAGTTAAATTATAAGATACTTTTATGGGCAAATCCTAGACATGCAATAGAAAATATACATATAGAACAAAAACAGGAGGTGATTACCTATAAAGAGCTTCTTATTATGGAAAGGGGGGTAATGTATTTGAAATCTTTAGATATACTGAGAGAAGAAGGTATAATTTATACATGGTTTCAGTACAGTCAACTTCAAGCTAGATGGAAGGAAGATCAAAAAACTGGCTTTGTGCAAAATGAGGAGAATTTGGTAAAACAAATTAGAGATCAAAAACAAATGCATATTAAAAGGTTGTATAATGTTTTATTGGAAATAGATTCTGAGACGGAATTGGTTAAAGACTGTATGATTAAATGGGCACAAAATTTTCAAGAGCCAGTAATGATGGAGACTTGGGAAAAGATTTGGATTAGAAATGTGAAATTTACACAAGCACAAAATTTAAGAGAAAATTTTTATAAAATGTTTTATAGATGGCATTTAGATCCTAAAAAATTATCATGTATGTATTCTAATGTGCAAGCTAAATGTTGGAGATGTGACTGTGATGATGCAACTTATTATCATATATGGTGGACTTGTAGAAAAATCACAGCATTTTGGATAAAGATTTGGTGGGTGATGCAGAATATTCTTAAAAAGAGACTGAAATTTTCTCCACAGTTGTTCTTACTGGGTATAACTACGGACTGTACAGTTGCAGAGACTAAATTGATTTTGAACTTGATAACAGCAGCAAGATTGTTGGTAGCACAACACTGGAAGAAGGACTTTTTGCCTACTATTGATGACTGGATACTGAAAGTAACTAATTTAGCTGAAATGGCTAAAATTTCAGCATATCTGAAGGATCACACACAAGAAAGGTACATACAGGACTGGAGAAGATGGATTGATTATATACAAAATAAGTATCAGACCAAAAAATATCAAATAGCTTATGAATGATTTCTTTTATTTGTATAAGCGTTATATAAGTGATATTAGAAGTATTATGTTTAAGAAATAGGATTTTATATATGGGGGGTTAAGAAAAAAAATTTTTTAGGGGTGTTAGTTTAATGATTGGTTATGCAATTTAGTTTATTGTTAAAGGTCAATAGAAATACCTTGTGTTCTGCTCTGGGAAGTCAGGGAGGGGGAGGGGGTTGGGAGGGGGGGTTGTGGGGAAATTGTGTTTGTTTTAAAACTTTTTCAATTAAAAAAAAAAAGAAACTTGGGAAATTTTGAAAAGTGAGATTATAAAAGCCCAGTCTAGCACAATATCAATGAAGTAGAAAAATAATATATCTCAAAAGAAACCAGCATGGCTGCATAAAGAACTCTCTGACAAATTGAAAGACAAAAAGGACAAATATAAAAACTGGAAAGAGGGTCATATAACTAAGGCAGAATATCAGCAAATAGCCCTAGCCAGCAAAGAGGAAAGCTAAAGCTCACAATGAACAAAGGCTTGAGACAAAAGTAAAAAATAACCCCCCCACCCCCATCCCCCCCAAAAAAGCTTATTCCATCATGTTAAAAACAAGAAAAAAAGACAAGAAAACAGTTGGTCCATTGCTGGGAGAAAATGGCAAGAAGGTGACAAGCAACAGGGAGAAAGCTACATAATTTCTTAACTCTTTTTTTTTTTTTTTTGCATCTGTCTTTACACAAAGGGAAAAAACAGTCCAATCTATCAAAAACAGCATCACAAAAAAAACAGATTAGGAACACAAGTTAAAATAGGGAAGAAAATGGTAAGTAAGCACCTGTCTACCCTAGACAAGTTCAAATCACGAGGACCAAATGGATTACATCCCAAGGTTCTGAAAGAACTGGCAGACAAGATCTCAGAACCACTGAATTATACCTTTCAATGATCCTGGAGCACCAGGGAACTGCCGGAAGACTAGAAAAGAGCTGATGTAATTCCCATCTGCAAAAAAGGGGAAAAAGTAGATCCAGGAAACTACAGACCTATCAGCCTGACCTCAATACCAGGGAAGATTCTGGAAAAGACAATCAAGAAACAAATCAGCGAACACCTAGATGCAAACAAAGTAATAATCAAAAGCCAACATGGGTTTGTCAAAAACAGATCATACCAAATCTTATTGCATTCTTTGAGAAAGTGACAAAATTAGGGGACCAGAGGAATGCTGTCAGTATAATTTACTTGGACTTCAGTAAGGCATTTGATAAAGTAAACTATAACCTACTACTTGATAAGATAGAAAAATGTGGGTTAGACAGCCTCACCACCAGATGGATTCGTAACTGGCTGATCAACCACACCCAACATGTAGTCCTCAATGGAACTGCATCTACATGGAGGAAAATATGCAGTGGAGTACCCCAAGTACTCTTCAACATCTTCATCAATGATTTGGATGAGGGGATAGATGGGGAACTCATCAAATTTGCAGACGACACCAAACTACCAGGAATAGCCAGAAGATAGGCTTAAGATTCAGAAGGAACTTGACAGACTTGAACATTGGGCACTATCTAACAAAATGAAATTCAATAATGAAAAAAGTAAGGTTCTATATTTAGGCAAGAAAAACAAAATGCACAGGTACAATATATGTGGTACCTCACTCAATAGTAGTAACTGTGAGAGGGATCTTGGAGTCCTAGTGGACAACCATTTAAATATGAGCCAGCAGTGTGCAGCAGCTGCCAGAAAAGCCAACACAGTTGTGGGCTGCATAAACAGAGGGATAGAATCAAGATCACATGAAGTGTTAACACCACTTTATAATGCCTTGGTAAGGCCACACTTGGAATACTACATTCAGTTTTGGTCGCCACGATATAAACAAATGTTGAGACTCTAGAAAGAGTCCAGAGAAGAGCAACAAAGATGATTAGGGGGCTAAAACATATAAAGATGGTTGCTGGAATTGGGTATGTGTATGAAAAGAACGACTAAGGCTGATATGATATAAATGTTCCAATATCTCAGGGGTTGCCACAAAGAAGAGGGAGTCAATCTATTCTCCAAAGCACCTGAAGGCAGGACAAGAAGCAATGGGTGGAAACTAATCAAGGGGAGAAGCAACCTAGAACTAAGAAAAAATTTCCTGACAGAACAATTAATCAGTGGCACAACTTGACTCCAGAAGTTGTGAATGCTCCAACACTGGAAGTTTTTAAGAAGATATTGGATAACTATTTGTCTGAAGTGGTTTCCTTTCCTTCCCTCTTATTCTATTCCATTCCATTCCATTCCATCCTATTCTGGAAGCAAGCATTTCACTGGTTGTTTTTACTTTCAAGAAATTTCTCCTTAATTCTAGGTTGGATCTCTCCTTTGACAAGTTTCCATCTGTTACTTTTTGTCCTGCTCTGGAGAATAAGTCAACCCTCTCTTGTCTGTGACAGCCCCTCAAGTACTGGAAGACTGAGGCGAAGGGGTGTCTGCAGTGGTGGGATTCAAGTAATTGAACAACTGGTTCTCTGCCCTAATGATTTCTTCCAACAACCAGTTCACCAAACTGCTCAGAAAGTTAACAACCGGCTCTCCCGAAGTGGTGCGAACTGGTTGAATCCCACCACTGGGTGTCTGCCATCCCAGACAGATCAGCCTTGAACACCAAAATCATGAACACTAAAACTACTTTTCTTACAGGGTTACAGAAACAGAGTCTGAAGGCACTTCCTGCCTTCATCCTAAAGTGAACCAGGAAGGAGAAACCCTGAGACGTTTTCTCAAATTGCATTCCTATTTTGCACACAGAAACTTTTTATCTCACCTTTGTCTGGGCTGCGTCTCTTCCTCCTCTTCCTCGAAGTGATTCTCACAGCTCTTTGCAGGGCAGGGAAACCCCTCAATGTGTCAGACCTGCCGCCACTTAAACCTCTAAATAAAAACCATCCTTGGCTCCACCTATTGAGAAAGGCATCGTTTTATTAGAAGTGCGTTGCAGTGATGCGTAGCCAGAACTGAGCATCACATGCCAAAAGCCCTAAGTTTAACTTTCCCCTCCCATCACTCACCCTGTGCCACCAACCAAGTTCAGGCAGGATGTTTTTGTAATGGCCAGTTGTGTACAGGAAGATATGCAGCTGGTATGCCAGGTGACTGAAACAGCAACTCCAAGAGATTCAGAATTTAACTTTACTTTTCCTGCTTTCCTCCCTGCTTCTGAAACTTAATTTTCATTTCCCCCCTTGCCTTCCGCCCGCCTCCCTCCCCACAATTCATGGCAGTCTGTGGAAGCACAAGCAAGTATAAGGTGGCAGCTAACACCAGGTTTTTCTGGATCTTCAGGAAAGCTTATTTTTTTATTATGATTATTTCAGCCTTTGTCATTTAAAGAATATTTCAGTGTCCATGAAGCCCTTTAAAAAAACAACAACATTTTTTTCTACTTTGAAATAAGAAAGAAATCATTCTGAATTAAATTGTTCGAATTATTGTGCATCCCCAGTTCTTTCCTAAGCAACCACAGCACTCAGGTTTCTGGTTTGGTGTGGATCTCTTGCATGAATCGACAGATGAATGAAAAGATAACTTGAAGAATAATTCCATAGTCCTAAGGGTTGTGAGGAAAACAAATTCTTGGGACATCTTGGCAAGATAGAAGCTTAGAAGGAATGTGTGTTAATTGAAGCCTTGCTTCTCGATATCCTTATCAAAACTTCTATGACAACTGATATGTTTCTTTTTATTATTAAGACAATAACTCTTAAAAGTATGATGAGTGGGTGAGTGGATGGGTGGGAAAATAACCTGAGGTTTGTTCTGCTGCATGAAAAACTCCTCCAACAGAAATGCATTGTGCTCCAATTTCAGTGTTTCTCAACTCGGGCAACCTTAAGATGTACAGACTTCAATTCCCAGAACTCCCCAGCCACCCTTCCCCAGAATTCTCCTTGCTTGCTGGGGGATTCTGGGAGTTGAAGTGTTGTGGATTTAATAAGACAAACACAACTTTTAGATTGATCAGAGACAGATTTTATATATATTGCGCAATAGGTTCAAGGCTCTGTACATGAAGCGTTGAACAAAGACAGGAATTAGGTACAATGGTTTTATACCCTTCTAGACAAAGGATTCTTTGAAGTCAGCCGTTTATGTGGTCCTATACATTTATCAATTTTAGTTGACATTACAGTCATAATTCTTTTTGTAGATTACTGAAGCATATCTTTTATCTTTTGACGATGGACAACTTTTAACTCATGTGGATCCCCTTGACCTAACCAACCTTTAAGCTGTATGTCATTAGAATGTTCCTTTCTTCTGACAACTTAGAGGCCTCCTAGAGGAACCAAAAGGATTTTGGCTGAGTTTGTACTCTTTCCAGCCGGATGCATTGCTTTTTAGAATAGAGTGAATAGAAAGTTATCCAGTGGTCATCCATCAGAGCCCGCTTCATTACATTATTCCCCCCTCTGAAAGTTTTTCAATGCAGAAACTTTCACTATTCTCATATAAGTTTAACTTCTGAGTATACAAGATTCCAATAAACATATCTACCATATATAGGGTCTAACAAAAGATAATTAATAAAAGTAAAGGATAGGTAGTTCTTGATTGTTTTTCTACTCTCTTGATTCTTGGGGAGATTCTCTACCTTTTTCTACAGGTTCCATTTCCTCATATGGGTCTACAGCAGGATCTGTAAGTCCTTCCATAGGGTAGGAACCAAGTTGATTAAGAAAATGTTCTATCAAAGCTAGTTCCTTTTCAACTTGAATCTCTTTTACTGTTCTTATTTATAGATGTTTCAGCATAGGGTTTGCACAAGGAATAAAAGCTAGGCCTGCCACAGCCATATTAATTCACCCGGATCCAGACAACCAAGAAAACCACATGTCAGTTGTTTATAACCTCTGACCTATCTTGGAAGCCCTATCCTGCAATTCCTTGGCAATATCTCTGACCACACCTGATTTGTTACATGTTTCTGTCCAGTTTGTTGGTAAACACAAATATGCATCCTTTCCACATAAGAAGATTTATGGAAAAGGCATGCACTCAGTAGTTCCTTGCATTAGTTCAGACCCCTAAGTCCCTGCCACAAACATTCCTGCCAGTGGTTGCAATGGGACTTCCAGTGAGAGGTCCTTCTGTTTATCTCTGAGAATTGGTCCTTCAAAAAACATATCGAGAGGTAGTATTTCCAGGTGGAAAAAGAATACACAAATCTGATTTGGACTTCAAGTTGAACCAGAGCTAAAATTCCGAAGGTTGAAATGGTCTTGGACAGATTCCATCCACCCCACTTTCCCTTCTGAAAGTTTATTTCTGGTAGCCTTTGTTCTATCCCAGAGTTGTGGTTTGACAGGAACAGCATGATAAGATGCAGGGCTAGCAGATAAACATAAGCAGCATTTCTGACCTAGGGTAGGGTCATACTGTTTAACAAGATCTTGACTTAATTCCAAAATCCGTGATATATAGTCTCCTCTATGCAATTGTTGTAGAGGCCCATTTTCCTTATCTATTCCCCCCTCAGCTGGGAATGTCAATAGTGCAACCTTAGGTGGTGGAGTTGACTTAGGTCTAAAGTAAGAACCCCGTGCATAGACAATGCGTTTTTGGCGGTAGCGAACTTGACCTAAAGTGTAGTTATCTAGGGAATCAATGTTCCCTACATGGTTACTTGAGAATGCAAGAGCAAATAATGTACAAAGCCATAAGCAAAACATAATCACTGTGGTGTGTAGCTCACAACGTCAGGGGCAGGGAGAGAGTTGATGGTGCGTGTGGTTTGGGATATAGCAGTAGCAAGAAAAATCCTAGGTCTACCACAAAAACGTTCCTTATATATGTAAAACAAAATTACTAGTAAGATTAGAAAAACAAATACCCACAAAGCGTATTCCCAAACTTCTAATGACATTAGCATGTGTAAGAAAGTGTTATATTACAGCTAATAATATGTATATGTACAATGTGAAGGCAGTTGTCCTCTTTACAAATCTTCCGCCGTGCGTAGAGAATCAGCTTCCGGAGTGATTCAGCAAGGCTGATGGTCACTTGGTATCAGTCTCATCCAGTGGATCCATGATCGTCCTCCTAAGATCTTAAAAACACAATTACAAAACCAATACATCTGGGCGAGTGCGCAAAGGAATCTGAGCAGTTGTAGTCCTTTTCAGTTGGGAAACAGCATAGGCAACCACTGAATCCTAAGAAAGAAAAAAATACAAAAATAGTCCAGATGACGAAGAATGCTATTCCCACTGGTGGCTGGATCCTTTGGATCATCAACTTCACTGGATTTCCTTGATGAGATTGAGCCCGTTCACTTGGGGTCTAACTTCCGTCCAGGTTGGATTAACATCCAATCATTGTGGTGGAATTTGTGGACTGGAAACTTCAAAGGTGATGTTTGGGCTAATAGTCCTTGTTTCCTAAAAACTTCAAAATATCTGGACAGGTTATACACATATTGTTTCAATACTTTGTCACTGGTTTCCAAGGAAGTAATGCATATGCTTCCTGTAGTGAAAACTACTTCAAACAACAGTTCATATGATGATAATCTGTCTAGGTTGGGTAAAATTCTTGACACCACTGTTGCTGTAGCATTACTGCAGATAAAAGCTGCAACCCACCCTGTGAGGTGGTTCACTATGAGTAATAAATATTTTACACTCCCCACTTTTGGTAATTCTGTAAAATCCACATGAATACATTGAAATGGTCTTAAAGCTGGTGATACATCTTACCCATATGTTGTTTTCTGACAGCATGTTCATGCACCTTTTTACAAACCAAACATTTGTTTATAATTGATGTTACTAAAGGATATATCCCAATACAACCATAGCTTAGTTTAAAAGTTCATCTACAATAGCTTGAAGTCCCCAATGACTCCACCCATATTTTGCCAAATGATGTCCAGAGACTAAGGGTTACAATGCATTAAGCAATAGCCATCATAAAGTCAGCTTATTGCCCCCCACAAACTGGGTCCTCAATTCACCTACCTTAGAAAGGATGGAAGGCTGAGTCAACCTTGAGCCTGGTGAGATTCGAATTTACAGTAATTGCAGACAGCTGGTGTTAAATTACAATGCATTTATCCACTGAGCTATCCAGGCTCCCTGTCCATAGAGCTTAATTTAATGAATACAATTCAAAGGTTTGAGCAGACCAATTTCAAGGCAATTTGTCTCCAGGGGGTGTCCCTCCAAATCTGGTCTTGTTGTTGTATGGAGACCAATTGTTTCAACATCATAAAGTTCTCATCCAAGGTGATCCATTGATTTGGTGTTGGTTAAGAACTGTGCTTGATTCAAATTGGAATCTGCAGGTAAAATCAAATCTGTCTGCTGCATTAAGATTGTTTCATTGTTGTTTAGAATCTTGAATCAGATAACCACCACTGAAGGATAGTTCTGACTTGATGTGGGGTGCTTACAATGAGGGCTCCCTCAAAAGGTCAATTTCCTACTTTCTGAGCCAACACCCCTCGTGCAATTCAATTTGTGTGTGTGTGTGTGTGTGTGTGTGTGTGTGTGTGTGTGTGTGTGTGTGTGTCTACAAAGAGACCGAATGGCTTTTCCAAATTTGGCAAACCCAATACAGGAGCCCTGGTTAAAGCCTGTTTCAAATTTTCAAGGCTTCCTCTTCCATGTCCCTCCCATTTCAAACTCCAAGATCCAGATTCAATTAATTTTGCATAGAATTGTCTTAATTCTTGCTTGTTTATAGATGGAGGCGGAGACGCTACCCCTCCTTTCTATCAGGAGTGATTTTTTTTTATTTATTTATTTTTCTCCTGTGGGGTGGGGGAAGTCTTTCCCTTTAAAGATTGCTGAAAGGCAGAGCTTTCCCTTCCTGAATTCAAAACTCCTGGAATCAGTTTTATTGTTCCTAGTAAGGCAAGCAAGAAACAAACACATCTTTTATTCTTCCTTTTGTTGTGG